ACAGCAAACCCCAAATTATACATCTTAATATCCAAAAAGCTTTGACTTCAATTACAAGGGCCCATGTGGAAGACCATACTGCACTTATCAACACGCTTAAATGCTCCATATCACTCACTCATAAACTGCCGCTGGCAGTCAGGCATTTCGCACAGAAAACTTTCGCCCATCCCAAGCCGAACAACCCCGGTAGCCCCCAAGCAGATTTCAGAGTAGAGGGCTCCCCCCAAACAACCCAAGGCCTCTGGGAGTTGGCCCAACCCCAGTCAACGTTAACATCCTAAAATCAATGCTAAAAGACTTCCCCTTGCAACATATTGCTCATGAATTAATCAATGGTTTTCAATATGGTTTCAACATTTGTTATTCGGGTATAAGGGAATTCCAAAAATCTAAAAAACATGAAATCTGCGCAAACAAATCCTCAGCAGCTCCAAGAAAAAGACATTTCTAGCGCATTCAGACTCCTTCCTATTTGCCACGAAGATTTTTCCTTGCTTGGTTTTCTTATTTTCAATTATTATTTTGATAAGTGTCTCCCATTCGGTTGCTCTATAGCATGTGCCACATTTGAAAAATTTGCAAAAGCCCTCCATTGGATTGTTCAAGATCGAGCCAATATTGACACGTTAGTACTTCCTTGATGATTTCCTTTTCGCAGGCCCTGCAAACACCCTTGTGTGCAAAAACCTCATGCAAACATTTGACATAACTGTGAAACACTCGGCGTTCATCTGTCAGAGGAAAAAAAATGAAGGTCCTACAACATGTTTAACATTTCTAGGTAAGGGATTAATACCATCACCCAAACTATATTTGTCCTGAAAGATAAAGTTGACGCCCTTAAAGCCCAACAACAAAATGTTGCCTAGCGGCGCAACGTTACTCCTAAAGAAATGCAATCATTAGTTGGATCTTTGGAATTAATTTCCAAGGCAATACCTGCAGGTAGAGCCTTTTGTAGGCGATTTTATGACAGCCTATCACAGGGATACAAACAACACCATTATATCACTATTTCAAAGGCACTACGCGAAGATGTAGATATATGGCTCGAGTTCCTAACTGACTTTAACGGCACAACTGTATTCCCAGACATTCACTGGTCAGATAGGACACTATTCACATATCCTCCGATAGCTCTGGTTCACTTGGGTGTGGGGTCATATTTGTTCACAATATTGTCCTAACTAAAATGGCCCTCAGAATGGTCACATCACGATTGTAGAGATCTGAACTATCTGGAGTTAGTCTCAGTCGCTCTTGCAATATACAAATGTACATATGGGACCACAAACTACAAGGCAAAAAAAAATAGTCTTGCATATCGATAACATGGCTGTTGTCGAGATAAGCAACCAAAAAACATCAAAGTCACCAAGAGTTATGTCCATCCTCAGGCCTCTTTTTTATAAAATATTAAAATACAATATCAAAGTCTGCCTCAAACATGTACCAGGTCATTCTTATTCTATTGCTGATGCCATATCTCGTTTTCAGTGGCAAGAGTTCACGAAGCTGGCCTCCCACGCAAACTACTATACCTGCCAAGTTCCTCTGGAATTCTGGAACCATTTGAGCAGGAAATAGAACAGCTACTCTCAGTATCCCTCTCATAACACTCAAGAAATATACCAGAAAGGTCTTGACTCATTTGCACAATTTAAAAAAATTAATTTAACGGAAGTATAATCCCCTCCCATAGACCAATTAATTAACTATATTGCTTACCTATCCTCAAAGGGGACAACATATTCTACAGCCAAAACCTACCTAGCTGGCTTCAGCTTCAACATAAAACTTGGTAATTTCCCAGATCCATGCCAATTTTTTATAGTCAAGAAAATGCTAAATGGCTTTAAACAACTAAAACAGATTCAAGAAGCCCGATAACATATCCCCTATTAGTCAAGATAATAGACGTGCTGCAACATGTCAGTGCTACAATTATTATAAAAAAATACTGTTCTCCTCGGCATATGTGCTTGCATTCTATGCTTTACTTTGAGTCAGTAAAATAACTACCACTAGGGCAAACGCCAGCAGTTCTCCATTATCAATAGAAAACGTATCAATATCTCAATCATCCACTCAGGTCACATTAGGGAAAACAGATCAGCATGGCAAGGGCACAACAATGCACATTTACAGCACAAAGCAAACCCAGGCCCTATTCCAAAACATAGTAGAGTATGCGACCCATAGACCATCACAAACTCAAACATCACAGTTTCTGTGCCACATGGATTGCTCACCCTTGACCTACTATAAATTCAATCAAATACTAAAGAAAGCTCTATCATTCCTCAAGCTTGATATATCAACATTAAAATCCCATTCATTTCGCATAGGGGCCGCAACTTCAGTGTATATGCAAGGTACTCCAGAGCAAGAAATTAAAACCATGGGTAGAAAGAAATCCAGCGCTTTTAAGTCTTATCTTCACCCTTATACTGTAGTCTTGTAGATACTCAGTCTTGCTAACTGTAATCTAAGTTTGCAGGAACTTGCTGCAAGGTATGGGTTGTTGGATCTTCCATCATCAGACGAGCTGAAGATTACTGCACACGTTCAACAATTGGCCAAAACTTGCTCTGGACTACTTAAACATAGATATAACTTGGTCTTAATCTGGGGGACTAAAATGGAAGCAACTTGATCAACACATTGCTAGTTTGTTAAATCGACACAATGAAATCATTCTTCAAGTTCTAATAGTTCACTGTTGTGGCAACAGTATTGGCATTCAGTCCCTTAAAAAATTACAAATAGCCATGAAATCATTATTAACCCCCCTTCATAAAAATACCAAACCTCTCCTTTTATGGGCAAATATACTTCTTCGCAAATACTGGCGTTACATGATTTCGAGCGAAGCTGCAGAGAAATCTAGAAAAAAGAATTAATAATTCCATTGGTTGCTTTGTTGTGCAAAAGTTAAATAGGGCCCTCATTAGTCACCGAGATATTAGGATAGTTCAGCCAAATTATTCCTCGATTGTGTTCATTTATCAGATCTTTGAAATTCTATTATTATAACTACAATTCAAACGGCATCGTCTAAGTTTCTGACTTCCAATCAAAAAGTTTTCCCCACCTCCCATAAAATACAGTATCTATACATGGTTTGTAAAAGAACCCCTCTCACCATCCCATATATATATAAGTAGTAACAATTGCACTGAGTTGCATTGCATCCTTATCCTCCCCCAGTTATGCTTGATGATGCTTTGATATGTTGTGTTGTATTGCTTTACCACATTACTCATTGTTGTTACCCTGCATATTGTTTTTGAATTGCTTTGAGAATCATTGCGTTGCATAATACATGATGTCTTGTGTGCCAAAATGTCCGCCTCTTGTTGGCAGATGGATTGCTGTCTCGAAATTCGTGCACAGCAATCCACTTGGCAGAATTTTGCCATCGCTGGCAACTTCTGTTTACCTTCCAGGGTTGTCAGCACCATATGGCTCCGTTTCTGCAAACCGTAGGCGCCAAATGCCAGAATGAGGATCGGCGCTTACTCACTGACACTTGCAATAATACTTGATCATTGTGCATTGTTTGATACCATTGTTTTATTATGTAATAACCTATCTTGAACAAAATAAAGCCAACACAGATACTGCCATTCTGAATTGCTTATTCTTTCGAGACAATTGCATTTACCGCCATGTGCGGTAAATTCCAGTTATCGAAGAAGAATAGTCTAAGCGCGATAACTCCTCTGTCTTCAATCAAATTTCCAAACTCATAAATTCGTTTCCGTTTCACCGACTTTGATCACACACCCACCCCCATCATTTTATCTAGAGAAATATTCTTTATCTTATTCACACAGTTTGTTTTCTATTTCACCGATCATCCATTAAACCTGCTTACATATACCAATCATCTCTAAAAACTGCTTACATATATACATCACTCTATTCAGTTACGTGCACGGATATACATATAGTTTTTTTTTTATCATAGGTATGCTAGGGCATAAATATTTTGCATTCAAGTTTTATTAGTTTTCTTCTGTGTTTCTGCTGTTATCATCTCTGATTCCAGTGCAACATCGTCCTTCGTCATGGCTTTAGAGACCCTTCCATGCTGCAATCCACGCCGACGCACTACAGAATTTTGCAACAAGCCATCACTGGCAACTTCTGTTTACCCTCCAGGGTTGTCAGCACCATATGACTCCGTTTCTGCAAACCGTAGGCGCCAAATCCCAGATTGAGGATCGGCGCTTACTCATTGACACTTGCAATAATACTTGATCATTGTCCATTGTTTTGATACCATTGTTTTATTATGTCATAACCTATCTTAAACAAAATAAAGCCATGACAGATACTGCCATTCTGAATTGCTTATTCTTTCGAGATAATTATTTAGATTATTATATTTCGTAACAGTTTAACCCCAAAACATCGATTCTAATTTGAATTCTTATTTACCGAAAGACTTATTTATTACCAACTTTCTTCTTTAAAAAGTAACATTATCGCTAAAATTGTTGAAAGGTTTTTACGTGTATTCTTGACTAAAACAATTAACATTTCAAGTGTTTTTCTGGTGCATCAAATGATAATGAGGAATGCACTATAAATATCATGATCTTTTCTCTTTTAAATATCATGATCTTATTTATCTTGGCTAAAGGTAAGGCATCATAGCTGAGCAAAATATTGACTTGTGTTTTGAAGACTGTTTCCTTTTCATACTTAAAGTACTAGTAATTACAAATCTCAAACTGTTATATTTTTATGACAAATAACTGTGTGAATAAACATATTCTTAAACAAACAAACAAATCGAATGAAAACAGGGCGAGATATCATCAGATCTTCAGTGTACTATATATATGTACAGGTATTCCGGCCCACTTTAATGTCTATTTTATGTGTTAAGGTGAACAGCATAATATTATTTTAGAATCATTAAACAGACTATTAAATGTTATATTGATTTTGTTTCTTAATTGTTTATGTACACATTCTTCTTGCAGATAAACGATACGTGGGTGAGTACAACTTGTGGAGGACAAAGATATCAGGTGATGAGTAACAAATGCACATTTATTTATGAAACGAATTACATTAAAAAGGGAATACTGAAAACAACTTGAATTCGTTAATGAGAAGTATCCACACGTTTTGCAACCTATTTTACTCGCAAATATAAATTGTGGCGCACAGTTTACTTTGCTTTGTATTGGAACATGATGTTGCCTCAGTATTGGATTAATTGTTAAAGCTGAACACGATTCGTATAAGGAATCTGTCCGCCACTTCTGTTCCCGAGTCTAACTACTCTGCGGACCCCTATAAATAGGACTTAGTCACTATTCAGTGTAATCAGTCGACACCGGTGTAGACGAACGTATGACATACAGAACTCGGTAGCGAGTATTATAACGTAATTCTTAATCTAATACAGGAAAATAAGATACCAATTAAATAGATTAACAATTATAGTTGTGTAAGTCGGTGCAGTATACAAACAACACAGATAAACGTAACTGCATTAAATATATAAACAAAGGTAATGCAAGATAACCAGCACAAACACGCGTCGCCATTCCACGGCGATACCCGTAACAGTAAAGAAGTCAGGTGTAACGAATGCGACGGGTATATATCCTAGTATTGATGTATTGTCGTGTTCAGTTTTAACTATCGAATTGCGATTAAAAAACTTCAATGACGTCACCCATTGTTATTAGATTGGGTATATTTTATTGATTTAACCACCACCAGTGGGATATTTTTAAGATCCAACTTGCAATCGTTGGATATTTCAAATATCCAACTGCTTAACGGTTGGATATTTGAATATCTGTCAAATATCCCACAGTACAGAAAACAATTAATTTAACAATGAATAAAAAGAGAAGGTTGAGTTGAAAATTGTATTTCTACAGCACAAAATAATAATAGTGACAAATCCATTTTTTGTAAATCAAATAATGTAACCAGCAATACACACTATAAATATCCATCAAACTATAAAGGAATTTCCACAGAAATATCTCCTTTCTTAATTTTGATTGATTTAGAATCACACACATCGCTTTGAGGAATATTTTCACACTTCCTCTTTGAACCAAGTTGAACAACATCACTAGCTTCCTGCTGTTGAGCAGTATTTGTGCGCTTGTACTCCCGAACGGCATCGGAACGATGGCCGGTCTTCTCACAAATGAGTTGCTCAGGAAGTTCTGCTGAATACATCCTCGTTGCAGCTGTTGCTCTTAGTGAATGGTTTGTGAAGTGCCCATCTAAACCAGCTTTTGCACACAGATTTTTCACTACCTTTGACAAGGTGTTGATTCCCACTCGAACATCACAATACCACTCATCGTTTGACGGCTTGGCCCTTGCGCGTAAATACAAAGCGTTGACTTTTCCAGTTTTTGGCCTGTAAAAAAAATAACCTTAATAACATATCTCTTCCAATATGTATACATGTATACAATAAGAAAATGTGATAAAAGAAAGAAAAAAATACCTTAAAGAAATGTATTTCTTGTATATAGAAACAACACATCTGTCTGGTCTCGCAACGTTTTCATAGGCTTTTGTCTGCTTTCTTCTCAGTTTCCTATGGTTTATTCCATCGGAATTACATTTCGAAATATCCTCGGTATATTCTAAGAATTCCCGTCCAGAATCTTTCTCTTTTCCTATTTTTAGCTGGGAATTTTCCCCATATCGGAGATTGTAATGTTCTGCACCTCCACGCAAAGCAAAGTTCAGTCCAAGCAAAAAGAGTAAAGTGTCTCTCAGTTTTTCAGGTGTATCTGTTCCAAGAATACACTTTTCCCACATGTAATTCTCATTTGCAACGGATATAACCTCAGATTGTTTTCTCTCTATTCCGACTCCAGACGAGGCTAGATCCTTCATTTTTTTGTCTAACATTTTTCTCATTCCTTCAAATTCAATATCGTCCATCAGAGTAACATACCTTGAATTCTCTCGTAGATGATGTTGAATAGCTATTATAATTTCATACAAGGTGTTACCACGGTATTCTTCCCCATTTTCTTTGCGTACTTCAGTTATGAATGCCCCCAAAGAGTAAATAAGCGTTTCAGGGTTCATGGTCAGCAAATCTCCACTAATTTTCTGAAGGTCCTCCCTGTTCCCATATTTCTCTTGTCTATTTCTCAACCACGAATTAAATAAATTGACTGCCCATCTGGATTTAGACATAGTCTTTTTAGCAAATCTTGACGCAGCAATTCTCTCACGTTCAAAATCAGAAATAGGTTCTGTGAAACGCTGATCTTTTCCCTCCGTTTTAATATTGCCCGTCTGCGACTCCATAAGAATCTTGTCAGATACTTGAACCAAATCATCATCCGAAATATCACTGTATTTGTCTAGCTTAAGATCAAAATTCTGACTTTCCTTTTCCTCCTGTAAGTCTAAAATATCATTTAACACACTATCGGTATCTTCCCCCGAACTTTGGACTTCTTTAAATTTACTTTGTGTAAGAAAAATTTCTTCATCAGAATCCATGACCGATTCGTAGAACACAGGTGGCAGAGGATAGTTTTTTTTTGCAATCAAAACGTTGGACTGACGGTTTACTTAATATTGAGCTGCTTTTAAAATGTGCATTGAAAAAATTTAAATTCCCTCTACATGTAATAATAGTATGATGTAGTCCCTTGAGAAATTTGAAGCTTTCAGGAATAAAATATGTACAACTTACACAATGAGCCCTAAAGATGGCGCAGGGACAATCTCAAAATTTCATGTGAATCAAGCCTATTTTCACTATTTCGCCGCAGCCGCATCTGCTTCCAGGCCCGTGCTCATGACCTAAGCTACCACACAAAGTGTAGAAGAACATTTGTACATACCAATGAACAGCAAGAGATATGGGCTCAACCACCTCGTTTTCAAGCTACAATTCATCCTGTGAACCCACCCCGCTTTTCTGGTGAAATACAGGTAGAGCGAGTTTTGAGCTTAGTTTCGTATTGCTAGTCCATATCCCATATACAGTAGTAGTGACACTAAAGTGTCATATTTCAATAAAATAAACAAGGCCACCAATTCACTCCAAATGCACCCATAAAATATTCTAGCACTAAAATTACCTATAATATGCATTCAAACCTCAGGTTTCACTATTTTTTCTATTTTTTGACCGGTACTTTATTCGAAACTATCCTCTGCCACCTTTAACTTTCAAAGTTTGTCTTGCAAATAATAAACCTTGCTCAATTCAAAAAGAACATGCAATTCTGAGTAAAAATATACCAAATATGTCTTGATTCATTGAAAAATAAAAAAGTTATGGCCAAATAAGAGACCTCACCAGTTCTCGGTCAACCACCTTAACCCCATATTGTTTCTTACACATGAAACAAATGCAATTCTTACAACTCTAAATGATCAATATACCATCAAAAAAGTGTTAAATGGTAATTTTAATCTATTTCAAATACATTTATATGTAAAAAGTCAAATATAAAGAGCACATCTTGGTGAAATGTACTCACATGTATCACATACTCCCCTATTTTTCATGTTCTATGAAATTCCATTTTATCCCTTTTTCACTTGGTTTTATATAACTATAACTTCTTTGCAAAGTTAAAACCCCTTTCAACTTTCAAGATATTTATCATGATATGCAAAAAACTCTCTTGCATCACATGCTAAAGAAAAAGTGTCCAGAAAATGGCAGTTCAACACCCTACCCCTGCAGCCATTTCTTCACTGTAATGAAAATGCACTGTAAAAATCTGTTTGTCCTAGCTGAATTCTTTCTAAGTGTCTGATATTCACTTTTAATAGTTATGAGTAATCAAATACATACATTTCATTCTTCTGAAAACTAAAAGTGATTATTCTGTCCATCCTTGGCAATTGTGGGCAGATTATATGGGCCTAGCAGAATTCAATAATTACATGAAAATACACATTTTATTGATATTTCTTCATTAAATATGCAATATAAACTCTTTGTTTTGTTATTATTCAAAGAAAAATAGTCATTTTATAGCAAACCATTGAAAAATTTAGATTCTGTCACATTCAAATATAGATAAATTTAAAAATTGAAAGGGGGGGGGGCATATTTCATGAAATTATCAATAACAGAATTGGTTAAATTTGGGAAAATAAAGCAAAAATAGTTTTTTTGTACTATATATGGTTAGGTTTAGTGACATTTAGGTATGCTGACTGATTTTTATTTTCAAAATAATTATATTTAGTAAATTAGGCTGAAAAAATGGCAAATTTTTGCAATTTCAGTGATATCGCACTATTTAATGCACTTGAATTTTAATTAGATTTAATTAATTAAAGCAAGACATGATTTTAATTATGCGACAATACCCAAAGTATCAAATTCAAACAATTAATTTATTCTCTGGCAAAAAATGCCTAAATCTTATATGATTTATTATGCTGATGGTTCAAAGTCTTTAAAAATGTATGCTGGAAAAGAGTAACCCCCCTTGCTTTTTAGTGAATATACCCAACTGTACAGATTTTAAATAACAGAAACAAAGTATGTTTTTAAATTGACATACATAAATAAACCCTTTTGTATAAAAATCAGACTAAAATTCACATTTCTAAAAATTGATGCATTCTTGAAGGTGGCAGAGGATAGTTTTCTTTGCAATCAAAACGTTGGACTGACGGTTTACTTAATATTGAGCTGCTTTTAAAATGTGCATTGAAAAAATTTAAATTCCCTCTACATGTAATAATAGTATGATGTAGTCCCTTGAGAAATTTGAAGCTTTCAGGAATAAAATATGTACAACTTACACAATGAGCCCTAAAGATGGCGCAGGGACAATCTCAAAATTTCATGTGAATCAAGCCTATTTTCACTATTTCGCCGCAGCCGCATCTGCTTCCAGGCCCGTGCTCATGACCTAAGCTACCACACAAAGTGTAGAAGAACATTTGTACATACCAATGAACAGCAAGAGATATGGGCTCAACCACCTCGTTTTCAAGCTACAATTCATCCTGTGAACCCACCCCGCTTTTCTGGTGAAATACAGGTAGAGCG